AGGGGGCGCTATTCATGAAAAATCATATATTATTACATGATATGAACATATTATTACTAATTTTGACCCATGCTCTGTATGAATCTTATGTAGTACATTATGCCAAACAATTTTACCATTGCATGTTTATTATGAAAATGCATAGTTTTTTGTAATCGTTAACTGTTTGAAAACCATGCTTTCGAACTAGTCTCTGAGTTTTGATCCAAACTTCTCGAATTTGGTCTAGAAATACTCTGTGGCCTCTCTAGGTAAATAATTATCAAACAAAATTGAATTTTTCACTCGACCTGGTGTTGCTCCTTCAATACATCACTGCGGCCATGGCATAGCCAGCTTGATTTGCTATAACTCATCAGTCTTTGGTTGTATCATCTCAAAACTTTGAGCACTTACATCTATTGAGACTCAGACAAGGTGTGCAAAATTTGGTCTAGATATGACCTTTAGAGGGCGCCTTAGCTGTCAAAAACCTCAAAAATCATTAAAGATGCTATTACAGTGTTATTACAAAGTCTACAGATAAACACATGAACCATTTGATTCAGTTCACTGACCTGAATAACTTTGTAATTACATGTCATGTCAAATATTTCACTTCTTGTCTAGTATTTTGAATTATTCCTTTAACAATTACAGCTTATTATACTAAGGTCAAAAGGTCAATCTGAACATAACTCAGTGAACAGCTTTGATCAAGTTCCCTGATCAATTATCATAACATGTGGAGACCTTTTGACCAATTCTAAACCACTTTCAGTGAGCTCCTCTATGCCAAAAGGGCCCCTTATGAGTGCACTGGGTCTCATTATGGCCTGATTATCAAAGCCTTAAACATGGAGAAACAAAACCCCTTGCAAACAGAACTATGACAGATATTTTACCATTACTCATGTATTTTTGACATCTATGTTGATAATCTTTTGCATGTTCTACAAACCTTTGTAGATCAGTCCATAGAAATGTAAACATATGTTGAAAGTAAAATGGTTCATGACAAATGAAGGCCTTGCGATAAACTCAGACTTCATTTCAGCCTCTATGCCTCGAAGGCCCAAACTGCATGAGGCCTGATTAGGCCTATTTGGCTCAAAGTGCATGAGAGCTTCTTGTGCTTATGCGTGCTTGGACCCGCTCATTGCCGCTTGCGGCTATGTTTAGGGTTCAAGCACGCAGTGCGTAGAACCCTATTGTTTTTGCTTGGATTTTATTAGGGTTTATTAGGGTTTATTAGGGTTCAAGCATGCAATGCATTGAACCCTATTGGAATTGTCAAGATTTTTCTTATTATTAGGGTCCAAGCACGCAGTGCGTAGGACCCTATTGCTTTTGCTAGGATTTTTCTTCTACTTCTTCTTCTTATTAGGGTTCAAGCATGCAATGCATTGAACCCTATTGGAATTGTCAAGGTTTTTCTTATTATTATTTTTCTTCCCTAAAACAGAACGCACAGCCCAAACCGTAAGTCCTAGAGACACCAAACTTGGTCAATAGGTAGTAGTCCCTCCCGCTACTCAGGCGCAAGGAATCAGCCCAGTAGGCCACAAGGGGGCGCTATTGCGCAGGTCAACGCGTTTTGGCCTATAACTCCTAAAAAAAGATTTTTCCTTGACAAGACATATTTTTTTCCTGGTTCCTTGGGTCCAAACAAACAACTTTGCCATTGGGACCATTTAGCTCCGCCCACTTAGATTTTGAGCTCATTTGCATAATATGCTTTTGCGAACTAGTCCTACAATTTTTGCCCGATCCCCATGTAGTTGGTGTCAAAAAATTCAGAAGAGCCTCAAGGTCAATAATTATCAAAAACATTTAGACTTTTCTAAACAACATGGCTGCCATATGCAAATGAACCCTTCTGGATAAATTCAAAATAATTCAGAATTAATTGAGAAATCTGTAACTCAAGAATCCTTCAGCCAAAAAATTTCAAACTTCACAGGCCATGTTAATACCCCATTTTGAGGTAGCCATTCGATTTTTGTGCGCATATGTAATTATGGGGTCGGAGTTAATGCTACATGGCTGTTTCTCAGCATCCGTACATCCGATCTAGCTGAAACTTTGCAGATACCATCTGTTGGCCAGACTATAAGTGAATCCATAAGGACAATTTGATTCATTGAAGTATATGGTTGCCATCGGCCAATAAGCATTTAGCAGGCTTTTGACAGGCTTAACATTGACCAATCATCATGAAACTTAAATGATCTCTACATTTAGCCACTTTCTAACAACCAACCAAGTTTCAAAAGATTTGGCCACTGGGGGGCGCTATTCATAAAAATTAACTTATTATTACATATTATTATTCTTTTATTACAAGTTTACTTGAAAGTCCTTGTGTATCATATTAAGTATGTTATTCCAAACAATTTTGCCAATGCATATTTATTACAAAACTACATAGTTTTTTTGTAATCGGTAACTGTTTAAAAAGCCTACTTTTCGAACTAGTCCCTGGATTTTGATCCAATCTTTTTGAACTTGGTCTGGAAAAATTCTTTGGCATGTGTAGGTAAATAATTATCAAAAACATTTTGACTTTTCTACTCAGGGTCGTGTGGATCAATCAATTAATTACTGCGACCATGGCATTGTTAGCTTGATAAGCTATAACTCAACAGTCATTGGTCAGATCATGTCCAAACTTTAAGGACTTTTACATATTTGGACTATAATTGTGTTTGCCCAGTTTGGTCCAGATTGGCCTTTAGGGGGCGCACTGAAAAATCAATAAAAATGCTATTACAATGTTATTACAAGGTCGACAGATAAACAAATGGTGCCATACGACTCAGATCAATCACCTAAACAACTTTCTAAGTGCATGTTCTGTCACAAATTATACTGTTTGTCTGGTATTTTGGCTTATTCATTTGAAGACTACATTATACGAAGGCTTATTATACAAAGGTCAAAAGGTCAATCTGACCAAAACTTGGTAAACATCTTTGGATATGGTCCCTGATCAAGAATCATACCATATTGTGGCCTTTTCACCAATTCTGACCCACTTTTACTGAGCTCCTCTACACCCTTAGGACCTCTTATGAGTTCATTGGGCTTCATTATGGCCTACATCAAATCAATGGCTTAAATATAGAATCATTCCACTGTGCAAGTGCAACTTCTTGGATGTTCTACAAAGCAGTGTAGATCAGTACATATGAATGCAAACCTATAATGTGTTTAAAACACCACTGCTTCTTGTTTATGGCAACTGAAGGCCTTTTGATGAACTGACTTCCTATCAGTTCTGTTCACTCTGCCTATGAATAAGACCCATAGCTTGAGGCCTTTTTAGGCCTAATGGGCGAAACCAAAAGCTTGAGGCCTTTTTAGGCCTAATGGGCTAAACCAAAACCTTGAGGCCTTTTTAGGCCTAATGGGCTAAACCTGCAGTAGGGCCTGTACTGCTGTTGCATGCTTGAACCCGCTCATTGCCGCTCGCGGCTATATTTATTATTATTATTCTACACTCAAATTTGGTCAACTTTTCACGGTCCACAGTTTTTGATGTAAAATGACCAAATTTTGCACAGATGTTCCTCATATAAGGGAATAGTGCGCCCGTACTTTTTGGACCGATCCGATGGACAGTTCGACGATCGTTCAAAGATGAAATTTTCCCATTAAAAATGAAAGGTGGAGTGTTCAGAACATTCAGTCTAACTGCCACAAGTAATGTCACAATGCACATCTCTTACACAGACACTCATGCACAGTACACACAGACTCACAAGCATACCGCCCAATGGCCCGCAATAACAACAATAACAGTAATAACCAAACTGAAATGGTAATAACAGAAATCAAAAAGTAATAAACGATTCTAAGAGAAATAACACAGTAACAACAGTGACAACCGTAACAATACATATTTAACACACCCCACAGCACAAACACACGCAACACACCACAGAACTCTCTCTCTCTCATACACACACACACACACACACACCACAAACAGACACCACATACATAACAAAACACACGCACTACAAACACACCACACAAACAACAAAAACACATCACAAACCACACATACTCAATACATATTCCACACACATACTCAACGAAAAACACACAAACTGAACGCATACCACACCACACATACACCACACATACACACCACAAAACCACCACACCACACACACATCATACACACCACAAACACAAAATACACTCTACATACAACACACACTGAACACAACAACGACTCCACACCATTAGCACTCTACACTACACACACCCAGACTCAACACACAACAAGCACTCCATGCCACACACTCTACACACCATGGTAGCAGTGGATTCAAGTGTCAGTAAATTTAAGGTGGCAGTGGATTTAAGGTAGCAGTACATTTAAGGTGGCAGGGGATTTAAGGTATCTGTAAATTTAAGGTATCAGTAAATTTAAGGTGGCAGTCAATTTAAGATGATGACAAAACCATGTATCAGATGTGTCAGTGCCTAACTGCAAAACTGAACTCCAACATGATGGCTAAGAAAGACAGTGATCAGTACAGCTAGCAGATAATGCTAATGCTAGTCAGTCAGTGAACATACAGCAAATAACTTTGTGTTTTTATGGTTAAAATCTAAAGAAATTATATTTAACGGGGGCCTTTTGGCCCATGTCTGAGGGGACTTTAACAACACCCCTGGTAAAACTTGATATAAATACATACATCACTTATTATCCAATGCCAAAAGTTGGTCAACTGACTCTCGGAAATTTCTGGGCAATAAATGCAGTGAACCAGATAAAATTTAAAATTAATTAGACCATAGCCATTTAGTAAATGTATCGAGATTTGATTAGATTTGGGCCCATCCTTTGAACACCAGAGAAAATAAGGCGGGGTAATAGAGTAACTTGGGGGCTTCTTCCCTCAGGTTACTCTACTGCTTGTAACAAGAAACGGCCCTTTTAACAAACTTTTCCCGCAGTTCTGCTCTCGGCCCACTAGAGGGCCTGATTAAACAGGCTGACACTGTCGTCAAGCAGATCGTCACATAGAATCCTCACGTTTCTGATTGCGTCACACGGAGCAGGAAAAGAACAAAATGGAGGAGTACGCGAGGGAGCCATGGTAAGCCGGTCAGCTGAAATACCTTGATATGTTGTCGTTTGCTAATTTAGTTATCTGTGTTCTCTCTGAAATAAATCTGGTAATTGGACGTCTTGTCAAAATTGATCTTAAATCAGCATCACGTGGAATGATTGACTCACGCTTTGCTGCCACGATGCCTGCGCTAACTAACCTGACGAGCTGGATGACCTTGCTCCTTTAGCTCTGTTAGCACTATTAGGAATGACTATGGTTTTGTCGTTTATTCCTAGTGACCATACGTAGGTATAAAACTTTTGAGACTGGGCAGGTTTTATCTAATTTGCTGAAAGTACAATTTGCGTTGTATTTTAAATAACGTTAGCAAGCTTGCTGTCTGTATCGTATCTGTCTTACTCTAATGGTAGTTTAGAAGTTAGTTATTCTGCTCTGATATCTTGCCGCTGTGGTGTGTAATTTGGCTCTGTTTCGATAACATGATATTGTGTTTAAGACACTCACATTTACTTTCGCAAAAAGATAAGTTTATATAAATTAGAAATGGCAAGTAGCAGTTATATCTGTCACAATCCTTAGCTGTCCTGATTCGTTTTTTGTGAAAAAAAAATGGTTGTGTCTGTATTTACATTGGTCTCTTGTCTTCTTTCAGTCCGTGGAGGATAGTGGACGACTGTGGCGGTGCATTCACCATGGGAGCAATAGGTGGAGGAATATTCCAGGCTGTTAAAGGCTTTAGAAACTCACCTGCTGTAAGTTCAGCTGTTTTGTGTAGTTGAAATGCCGTGATAGTAATGGTCATTTGACTTGTTGACAAAAACTAAATCACATCTGTAATGCACTGTTATCACACTGTTGTATTAAAATTTGATAAATGTAGTTGTATGTAAACGTGCCAAGAGGATTGGATTCCTCTCATCAAGTGTATCATCTTTTTCAATTACTTTCTTCTGCAAGACACTGTAGGTCTTTAAAAATTAAGACAGCCTGTTTCAGGAACAGCTTTTCTTTACTGCAGGAAGATGATGAAATACTTGTGAACCGTGTGTATCATTAGGGTTGGCTTATATTGCAAAAACACGTCAGAATTATTGCCACTCTGACTATGTACATTCTTTACAAGATAACAGCACTGTGTCTTCTTGCATAATGCTGGATAATGTGGGACAATACATCTAAAACAATCACACATTTTTTACACACATGTTTTAGCATAAATTTGTTTTATTCAGTTGTTTTATCCATAATTGCTCTGTTTGCTGATCAGCCTATGCTGGAATTTGTAATGTTCATTTCATTACGTTACATTTTTATGTGTATTTTTTATGTTTTCTGTTCTTCAGGGAATGAACCACAGACTAAGGGGGAGCATGACAGCCGTTAGGACAAGAGCCCCACAACTAGGAGGTAAGAGTTTACTCTTACAGATTGTTTCACATATCTCAGTGTTATGGCATGTTTCAGTAAAGGGGATGTCACTGTTAATTATTTTAGTAATGTAGTAATCTACCAGATATTTTAAAGATTAATCAGCTAATTTGGCCTTTTTTTTAAGCCAAACAGTAAAAATGAACTTAACATTAATAAACCATCTATATTCAGTGTTTTTAGTTTAGTATGTTTGGAATATAGTTTTTACTCATCCCTACTCAGGTGTCTTGAAAATTTAATACTGTGACATATACTATAAAAGTTGGTGCAAAGTCTACATAGTAGAATTTAGAGTTGCTTTCACTGCTCTGGAACATCTATTACATGTCAGAATCTAGAAATTCAGACACATTTAAAATCCCCAAATGGTTTTGAAATTTTTACAGGAAGTTTTGCTGTATGGGGCGGACTCTTTTCAATGATTGATTGCGGGCTGGTGAAAGTGCGGGGAAAAGAGGATCCCTGGAACTCGATAACAAGTGGAGCCATGACGGGTGCTATCCTTGCTGCAAGAAGTGAGTCAGGATTTAGGCCTATATTTCAGATTCATGCATGACTTTGGTATACAACTGTATGACAGTTCAGTGAGTAAAAAAAATATTTGTGACATACTGACACAAATTGGAATGGTTTCCACTGTTCTATAAAAAACAGTCCATGATATTCCTAAAACGAAATGAAACATGAAAGTAAGAACGATTAAAATCCAAAACTGTTTCTTCTTTGTGCATATTTAAACATATTTGTTTTTTTTTTTCCCCAGTATCTAAAATATGTTGTATCATGGTGCAACAATGTGACTTTTCCCATTTTTTGACTAGGCACTGCAGTATAGTACGGTAAGGTTACATGTCTGGGATCATGCATTTTACCATAATTTCCACTGGCGAGTAACCTATACCGTACCTGAGTTTTCTATCCAGAGTAACAAGTGTGGGCTGGAATGTATTGGTGGAGCGAGAAATAGCACAGACCATTGATTGGTCAATGCAGTCTTCACAGAAAGCTCTCCATTGTTGCTACTGTTGTTTGAGGTTACACACCAGCATGGGACCACCAGACAACCTCCAGAGAACTTACTTTCTCAGTTCTGTTGTGACATTGGAAAGAGATGCATGTATCTCAAGTACAGATAGTTCTGGATTCAGATTAGTAACGTACCATTCTGAACCGTACTGCATTACCCATAGGAAAAACACAAATGTGTGTTATTTCACTCCTACTCTCTAGGTGTTATGTTAATAATACACATAAATGATGTTCTGTGTTGGCTATCTGCCATTGTTCTATTAGGGTTTGTTAAATTGATATTGATCCATGCTCTCTGTTCTTAGATGGGCCGGTTGCCATGGTTGGTTCTGCTGCTATGGGAGGCATACTGTTAGCATTGATAGAAGGTGCTGGAATCCTTCTTACAAGATTTGCTTCTTCACAGTTCCCTACTGGTGAGTGCAAAAAAGTTTATAGCCGCCTTATCATGAGATGTCATTAGTCATGAACATTTGGTGTTGAGTTGTTTAAACACCATTATTTTTTCTTCCCCCTTTAGGTCCACAGTTTGCAGAGGAACCTGCTCCTATGCCTGCCCCTTCTTTTGGGGACTACAGACAGTACCAGTGAGAGGCCAGTTCGTCTTGAGGTCTTTCAAATTTCCATGAACTCATCTGGGGTGCCAGAGTTGCACTTAAGCACCTGTGGAACTGTCTCTCATTAAATGAGCATGCACCAATGCAGCCCACCATTAGGAACTTTTGTCTGAGAATGAAAAGGCCAAACACTTTTTCACTGGTCTTCTGCAGTATGCCCTTTTGCTGTTTTCAGCTATTTTGTTTGTAGTTCACCCTATTTAAAGTCTTCTTTAGTCCAGCAAGGGATGAATGATGTGATGTCTGCCTTGAAGTGTCTTCACTTTATTCATCATACGTCTGTTGACATCAGGTAAAGACAGAAATTGGGAACACTGTAGATGATGCCAGTTTATTCAGACAGACCAGTGTTTCCCATCTTTGGTCCTGGAGTAGTCCTCCATGGCTTATTTTCCTAGGTATAACACCTTTATTTTAAGCTCATTAAAGGCTTGCTTATTAGTTGATGAGTCGTATTTTGAGCCGCTAAATTATGGACTAAGAATAGCAAGGAGACCAATATTGGACCGTTTGCTCAAAAAGCAACTGAAATTGTGTGTTTGGATGTGATTCACTTTGTATGATTGTGTGTCTGCATGTATGTGGGTATATAAAAGTTACACAGACATGCATTAGTGGAATATTTTGCCTTAACGTCCTCTGTCTCATGGGTTCTGCTTAAGCCCTTGTTATATAGTTACTTTCATAAACCTTTACCATCTGAATGTCCCTGAACTATTCACTTTTTGAAGTTGCTATTTATTTTTTACAAGAGGTACAGCAGATTTTATGTGTTTTATGTCTTCTTGTGCTTCATTCAGCTTAACAGAATAATATTAGGACCATTATGGGCAAAGGATGTTTTTCAGATAAAAGGTTAAAACGGTGGACAGATTTCAGGTGGCAGATGTCAAATTGGATTGAATACTATTGTGAATAAACAGTTATTACTGTACTGGAGTTAAGCACTTACGTTCATGTTCATTGGTCAATGACAGTGCCTGTGTGGACGTTAGCAATATTTACATTACAGCATAATTACGATCACTTACAGAACACACTACATAGATTCAGCTGTTGTTATTGCAAGGAAGAACGTACCAGCATTATTCATGTGGATCGTATGTGGTACAATTTAGCAAATGCTGTCTTTTTTTGCTTTAATTATGTAAGGCAGCCCAGAGCAGAGACCCTGCGCATTTTTATCTGTGTCTATAGCAGACATCTGCCATAGACAGATAAAAATATGAGCTAGATTTTGCTGTTGGATGTGTTTTCCTTATGTTGCAATGGACTTCTTTGCTTGTCTATATATTTTTTTTTAATTCCTATTCTGATTTATTTATGTATGTAATGTGTGTTCATTTAAGCATTGAGGTCTAGATCACTTAATAATGAGCATAATGCAAGAAACACTAAGAAAACACAGGGAGAACCCCACCTCCAAACACACACTTTTAGGCACTCTTAAGTCCAGAACCCATAGACATCACCAGACAATGTTTTTTTTTCCCCCTCTGGTGATGCTTTGCTAGGCCTTTACTGCAGCTGTCTTCAGTTCTTCTTGGGACTTCTTGGGACATTTTATGTTTAGTTTTGCCTCAGTAAGTGAAATCCTTGCTCAGTTGGATTGAAGTTGGGTGACTGACTTGACCATTGCATTGAAGCAAGGTTGTATGCTTTGGATCATGAACGCTTCCATCCCTTCTCCATACTCTTCTTATAATTCTAGTACAAGTTGATCTTTGTCTCATCTGTCCAGAAGATGTTGTTCAAGAACTTCATGGGCTTTTTTATTTTTGTATTTATTTATTGATTGATTGATTGGCAGTTTCTAATCTGTTTTTCCTGTTTGGCCTTTTGGTGTTTCTGAGCTCAGCAGTACGTTCTTTAACAATGATTGGCTACACCAAACGGTTTTCTAGACCTTTTATCTTCTTATTTGTAGGTGAAATAATGAGGGAGTAACACACCTGGCCATGAAACATCTGAACAGTCAACTGTCCTATTACTTTTGAGTCCTTAAAAATGAATGTAAATACTCCCAATAGCTGAAAAGTCTTCACTGTTCATATTTATTGATTAATTTCAAATTCAATATGCTGTAGTAGATAGCTAAAATAACAGTAACTTTGTCTACGTCCATATATTTATGGACCTGACTTAGGGCTGGGTGATAAAACGATAACGATAATTATCGCGATATAACTTTTCCTCGATAGAGCGATACAACATGTTCGATAAATGTTTGATATAATACACCATTCTCACACTTGCTCTTTCTAGCGAAAGCCTTGGAGGCATCTTCTGCAAAGAAAGCGACACTACTCTGCTGTCGCCAGGAGAGGGTGCACTTCCGAGTTTTTCTACATGATTAGAGAGGGAGGGGGCCACGAGTAAGATGAGTCTTTAGCAACGGCTGAAACGTGGAGTTACACATTCCCTGTTTGCGTGGAGCGACCGGCGATCTGTTCTCCTGTGACCGAGTGTGAGTGATGAGGTCAGTGGTGTAACTATACTGTCCAGTGAACTCACCTCTTTCCTAACATCCTAACCAGCTTCAGCAGCGTTAAATCACAATCACACTCCTCACAACTAAAGTGCTGTTACAGCGCCAAACCGTCATATTTAAGTATTAGTGCATTCCCAAGCAACGAAAGTGAAAAAGATGTGGGTTCATGTAAATTACAGCCCTGATTTAAACAAAAGTAAACTGTAGCTGTCAGGCATTGGAGAGCGGGAGAGCCCTAGCTTTCCAAGCTAGCTGTTTTTTGCAGCTGGCTAACTTGAAGCAGCGCTCCATCACACAGAGAATTGATGATACTGTAGATCAAACACGACACAAAAGCACCGCTTTCAGTTTACCTAAAAAGAGGACTCTGTTTGTCTGGTGTTGATATTTTGCGGTGCACCACTTAAACTACTATGATAGTATAGAGAAATCCAGTCGTCGCTAGCTGGTGCCTGAATACTGTGATGTCATTTGTAACGGGGTAGCCGAGCACTCGTCACCAGTTAAAAATAATCTGTTTTCTTTCTTAGATTATGACTATTACAAAATAGCCATGCTTTTCCAGCTGGTAAAAACAGCTCACCAGACACTTTCTCCCACTCTCCCATGACAGATTTGTGAAATGTTCCACTGTTTGGCGAGTGTTTGTCGTGTTCCGACCATAAAGGATCATTTAAAACAGCAATTAACCACCCAGGAGCAAAAATCAGCCTTCAAACTCGAAAGAAATAATGATTTGACATTTATCGCGGTATGTATCGATATCGAACGATATGAATTTTGTTTATTGTGATAACATTTTTGGCCATATCGCCCAGCTCTAACCTGACTGTATGTAAGGGCCAGAATGGCATTGGACAATCAAGAAACAAAAAAAACGAGTTGTCATGAGATTCAAAGGAGTCGAGGCTAACCATTGGTCACTCTAGCGGAGAGTCAACACTGGAGGTCAGTCTTGGCATTATTGGGGAGTTTTTTTTTAAAAAGGTAAGGTAGGCTACAGGGTTTTATAAGAGGCCAGTCATTCATCCTTGTGTCCTTTCTTTGCTCCTCTCTTCCCTTTGAGGAAAAGATGCAAGGACAAAAGGATCCATGCCAAACTTGTTTACCCAATGAGACGTCCTTCACTCAGTCATCACTTTCACAGGCCTGCCGATAATAAACATTTTTATCATATTATCAACTGAAATTAATTAAAATTCAACCACGTCAACTTTTTAGTAAATCATCCTTTGGCAGTACTACTCCATTAACTGTAATCATCTAATGACTTTATAGCATAGTCAGAGAAATTAGAATAAGATGCACGTGTGTTTCCTCCATTTGGCTTCTATCACTACCTCATCTGCGTCCTCTGCCCAATTCGCATTGCGCATTCGCACTACTGTCATGCATGTGAACACTGCATTACGTTTTACGACGCTAGAGAGGATTCACGATTATCTTATATATAAGTCTCATTCTCTTAGTTTAATACCAATTTGTATTAAGTTTATGGGTGTAAACAATCAGGTAGAATACAAGGAGAGTGGTACGTACAAAAACCTGCTCAATGTTAGTATCATTTTGGTTTTGCATGAGAGCATGTCTGTGGCTGAATCTCAAATGGCTCTCTGTATAGTGTGCAGCATACGTCATAAAATTATGGCTTCTACACCCAAAGAATGCTCTAAATGTTAGGTAGGATTTTGCAGCTAGGACTGAATATAAATAACTTTTTATTTAGACATATAATACGCTGTTATGTAATGACCTATGTATTGCACACTGCATCGGGACTAGGAAGCCATTTGAGATTGAGCCTGTATTTTGTCCAGCTTTGTGCACGTAAAGGCTAACAATGCTACATTAAGCAAAACTGCGCCAGTAGACAATCACATCTTAAACCTTGTGTTCTCATTGATAAGGATAACACAGCATCAGAGCAGAGCAGGAAGAATGCAAAATATACGTGTAATTACAAGTAAAAATGAATAATAAGTTTGTTAGAGACCTGTTTATCCCGAGATGTATACTTGAAGTACTCTCTCAGTAAGCTTCAAAATTTGTGATTGATTGGAACAAGCTATGGAACCCTCTAATGTACTAAATAATAAAGTCACATGCCGGATCATTCATAAATGTTACCCCTTCAACAGTGTTGTCTCAAAATATTACCCACGGGGGGGAGGATATATGCAACTTTTATGGTAAAACAATGAATGTATTGAAACATTATATTAAGGATAGAAACTTGTGATATTTAGTTTACAAAGACTGCAATAAGGTTATCCATTTAATTAATCTGTTCATTTTTCTTGATAAATATTTGATATTGGTAAAATGGAATTTACAAATAGAATCCCAAATTATATTTTATTTAAAGATGACTATTCTCCTATATCTTCTATATCTCCTCAATTCAGTGTATTGTGATGTAAGAGCACGTCTTGTTGATTTAATTTCTGTTCATGTTTAAAGAGTATCTACACTCTATACCTTTTTTCATTAACAGCTGAAATGCATTGCTCTGTAATAATAAAATATGCCAGCCTTGCTTAAAATTTAAACATCTTTTTAAACTGTCAAATTAACATTTTTATTGTGGTCAAATTCGCCTCTGCAGCCGCATCTGGTTTAACTCTGCTATAGACCACTGTAGTCGTGTCGTCATTTTGTAGTCAGCGCCATGCTCGTGTGCTAAAGCTAAAATTAACCTTTTAGTTTTAACACTGGCCGTATTTTTTGACAAGGAGTTTTAGGCTGTCAAAATGTCCTACCTAGAGGTTCCATTTATGGGTATATCTGTAAACATGCGCTTCAGTAGAACATTTCGATAAGGTAGCAAAACTCGTCAGAACACCACCATAGCCCACCTTAGTCTTGTGTAGCTTACACACACATACACACACACACCTTCTAAGCCGCTTATCCTTCAGTGTCGCGGGGGGAACTGGAGCATATCCCAGCAGTTATTGGGTGGAAGGCAGGATACACCCTGGACAGGTCACCAGTCCATTGCAGGGCAGACACACAGACATATATATTCACACCTAGGGGCAATTTCGCATATACAATTGGCCTCATTCCTCATTCTGGCCAATGAGAAATCAAGCTTAGACCCAGAGTTCCTAATGTGGGTATAACGTGGACTACAGTGGTCTTTAGGCACGGATGGTACGATGACACGTCACAGTATGCAAATCAGTCAACCAAAGTTACACCAAAGTTTAGTGGTCTAGTTTGTTATTACGCAGTTGGCTTGAAAAAGCCAACCTGCTGTTCTTTATAATCTTATTATTATTCTATGGTCAAAAAATAAAATGTTTCTTTTCCTGTAGTTTTAAAGCTAGAGCCACGAAATTTTGCAGGATCGTAGGACCTATAGCTGATTAGATTGCTTGTGCTTTTCTGTGTGATCCGATGTACAGTTTTTGTAAAAAGCCTATTGCACAGCAATATGAGCACA